GTTCACGCATGAGCTGTTTAAAAATGACTCAACGTTGGTAAATAGTTGTGCAGTTTTCCTTTCAGGAGAAGGCCATGCACAGGTTGCTTTGTTTTCTGTCACCCTCTAACCTGTCAGCACTGTAGTCAGACACAGAATCATCAGTGTATGCAGCACCCTTTGTAACTTAAAATAAAAATATGAAAAGAAAAGGTTTTGAATCGTTTGCCTCATATTTTGTCTTTTCTCCTTTCTGTTGCCTGCGACACGGCAGCCATCCATTCCTCAAGATAAACTGTTCCTAAGAAGTCTCCATCTTCACAGAGCAAGGGAGCCAACTGTACTGCCTCTTTGGGCGTACAGAGTGCTAAAGATTATTGACATTGTAAGCTGGGTTTCTAGTATTTCAGTGAAATTTAGCTATCCCATAAAATTATTTGATAGAAACATTTACTTTCTTTGTAAACAATAGTTTGCTTAATTTATCCTTTGATAATTTAGACAAGAAATTTCTTCAAGGAAAACAAAGTATCAAAACGGTCTTCAAACTAGGGGAGCTGTGTACCTAAGGCCTCTGCCAAGGGGACCCTGCTAGGCAAAGGGGGCGTAGGAGTGGGTGTTTTTCAGCAGCAAGTGTCTGTTGAGAACCTACTCTCCCAGGATGTGTGGGTAGGTGCTGGGTTACAGAAGGATTGAAGAGATTGCCACAAAATCATTCTACCAAGGGGTATGGCATGTGGGCAGGATGGCAGAAAACACAAGAAAAGTTGAAGGTATGATGTCCTGGGGGGGATGCTAAAGAAAGGATGAGGGCCAGGGAGATAAAGGTTAACGTGCCTGGCAAGCCATCAATCCCCAGCGCTCAGATGAACAGCAATATGTGGTGTGGGCACTTGTGTCTGCAGCCAGGGAGGCAGAAGTAGATCCCTGAGGCCCACAGCCCAGCATGACCTACCTGGAAAGTAATGAGAGACGCCATTCCCCAAACAGGACAGCACCTAAGGGATGACAACTAAAGTTGACCTCTGGTCTACATATAGACACATAAAACTTGACTCTTTTTCTCTATTTGAGTGGCACTGAGGCCATTTTTTTAAAAAAGGCAAAGTAGATGTGCTTTCTCATGGCTGATGGTTATTCAAGACTTACCTCTCACAGTGTTGGTAGCTGAGGAGTCAGGGGAGCAGGGCCAGTCCAGTCCTTAGGGATATATCAGTTGGTGATTCTTAAGTTATAGCACAATGAAGCATTTGAAAGAAAAACATTGGGCTGGAGAGATGGCTCAGAAGTTAAGAGCACTAACTGCTCTTCCAGAGGTCCTAGTTCAATTCCCAGCAACCATATGGTGGCTCACAGCCATCTGTAATGAGATCTGGTGCCCTCTTCTGCCCAGCAAGCATACAGACAGACAGAACACTGTATACATAATAAATAAATCTTTTTTAAAAACATTAATTTTTAATTAATTCCTAATTAATTTAGAAAGTGTTGTCCTGCCGGACAGTGGTGGTGCATGCCTTTAATCCCAGCACTCGGGAGGCAGAGGCAGGTGTATCTCTGTGAGTTCAAGGCCAGCCTGGTCTACAGAGGGAGTTCCAGGATCAGGCTCCAAAGCTACAGAGAAACCCTGTCTTGAAAAGCAAAAAAAAAAAAAAAAAAAAAGAAAGAAAGAAAGAAAGAAAGTGTTGTCCTAATTCAGCTAAAAGAGCATTAGAAGGTAGTAGATGTCCTTAGGTATGGAGATGGCACACTGTAAGCCATCTAGTTGTCCTGTTAAGAACACTGGACTGCCACTCTCAGGCCCAGTGAGGCTGGTGGCCTTGTCTTTCTGCAGCAGCACTCAGATGAAGGACTACATCCAGCCTATTGTAGTAGAGGTTCAGTTCACACTCTAGTCTGCTTGATACATTCTGAGGACAATTCCTACTCAGATAATCAGGCCGAATCTTGAGCAGTATTTAGAAGAATGTCCACATCAGAGGGAAGTAAGGTGCTTAGAATCTGAAGGTCCAAAAGATCCAAAGCCCACACAGTGCAGCCAACAAAGGCAGTTCCTAAACGAAAGGGGAAAAAACGGAAGGGGTTGGAAGAATCATGAGAGGGCCTGTGGGTCCCAGGCTGTGCACCTGCCCCTTCAAACTAGCCTCTAGTCAGGGGGCCTGCAGTCTGCCAATTATGTAGGAATTTCCAGTAAGGACGATACGTTAGAGTTCAAACGCTAAAAATCCCTCCAGTACTGCCTTTGGGGTTCTCCAGTGCCCTAAATGGAGAACTTTACTCGGAACATTACAGTGATTTGAATGTCAATCTGTTTCTTTAAACATTTTTAATCCTAAAATGGTGCTTAGAATAAAAAACAGAAATGTACAAAATTGAAAGAAGAGTTTACAGTGAAAACCGCAGAAGAAACTTGAATGAATGAGAATACACACCAGGCTCCAGAACAGGACCTGTCAGCTGAAAGCTACTGGTGCTGAGTCATGCTAAAAATGTGATACCATCTTAACAAAATAAACTAAGGGGATGTTAAGTTGTGAGAAGAAAATAGCTGAAACATGTTGGGGTGGGGAGAGGATAAATCAAGTATTTTAATCCTATTGTCGAAGACTCTGTATAAAAACTGTCATTGAGTGCATGAATGGACAGGCAAGGAGATTAGTGAATTTAGAAATAGACACAATTGTAGATGAAAACAGTAGCATGGTCAATGTGGCATCCAGAACCAAGGTAAAATAAATAAGTTGGGCCCTTCTCTAATATTGGTGCCACCGAGAAACCTAGAAAATGTCAAGTTGGTTCTGCATCTCACTATGAGCCAATATGTACTTAAACGGGCAGAGATACAAGTGAGTTTTTTTTAAAAAAACAAAAAAAAACACAAAAAACATAAACACCAGAAGGAAATATATACAATCTTAAATCCTAGGGGCGTGGGAAGGATTTTTTTTTAACATAGACCCAAGTCCAGGGGTCATAAATAAAGATCCACCAATGTGAAACTGAAATTTTAAATCATCTTTGAAATAAAAAGGTACCATAGACAAAGTCAGGATTCTGCCAATTTTACAATGAGAATACTAATAACAGAAAGGGTTCCTGGAAACAAATACAGTAGAAAAGTGCACAAAATGACTATGATAGCTTTGAGACATTCTCGGTCTCATTCATTATGAGAGATGCAAGATAAAGGCCTTTTAAGAAACACTGAATGGGACCGGATGGTGTTGGCACACACCTTTAATCCCAGCACTTGGGAGGCAGAAGCAGGCCTGGTCTACAAGAGCTAGTTCCAGGACAGGCACCATCGCTACAGCGAAACCTTGTTTCAAAAATAAAAATAAAAAAAAAAGAAAAAAAAGAAAAGAAAAAAAAAAAAACACTGGTAAGATTCCCAATGTCAGCTCACCATGCTGGTGGGCTAAAGAAAATGGGCATTTCTTTTATTTTTCTGGAGTAATGTAAACTGGTAAAACCACTATGAAGAGATTTTTTTTTCTTCCTGTTTTGTTTAGTCCTGACTAGCCTGGGAACTAACTATGTAGACCAGGCTGGTGTGGAACTCACAGAGTTCCGCCTGCCTCCGCCTCTTGAGTGCTGAGATAAAGGCGTCCGCCACCATACTCAGAGAGAAAAGAATTATGAAAGCTTATGTGAAGTTAAAATGCATGTCTGACAGCTTCATGTTGAACACCTGTAATTCTAGCACTTGGGAGTTTGAGGCAAGAAGACCAGGAGTTCAAGGTTGTCCGTGTCTACACATGCAGTCGGAAACCAGCGTGACTTATCTGAGACCCTGCCTCTGAAAAGCCAAGATAAAACACATATATCCACCTATTCCATTTGTTCTGTCCTCCTCTTCCCACTTCCTGTCGCCAAACTAATCAGTGTGATTATGTAGGTGAAGCACTGAGTAGAAAATGCCTGCACTTCCGTACTCCAGAATGTTGCTTGGGAATACATGAATAGCAACTAGGCATTGGGTTCAATACCACATTTCACCCTCTAGGCAACCTTAGTAATGATGTTACTGATGATCACGTTAGCCTCTGAGAAAACTAGAGTGGGGTTGGTGATGTGCACGCCTGGAATCCAGGCCTTTGTTACTTGCAGTGAGGTGCACCTTTTCGGAAGTGGTGCCAGCTGCCGTAGGAACGTAGGCAACTGTGGAGACTGACTAAGGGGCTATGTGTGAAGTCTGAGAAAAACATTTTAAAAGGAGGGAACCCCCATATCCCAAGGCTACAGGGCCTGGAGAATCCCTGAGGGCCGGGAAAAGGGGAGGGAAAGTATTATTACTAAGATAATAATAATAATAATAATTAAATACTTCTAAAAAACGCTACCCTTCTGTGAGCAGCACTGATAGTGTCTATCAAAACCACACGGCACAATCGGAGCCATTCCTGCGATACTTGTAATCTAATTCTATACAAAAGGCAACATCAGAACCATAGAAACATGTAAGGCAATGTAGTTCTGTATATGAGAAAGCCCTAGGATCTTGTTTGTACTGATGGAGGTGCCCCAATGACCTGCATTGAATTCTATCCCTTTACAATTTTTTTGTGTCTTACTCCATAATTTAGACTTAATGGAGAAATTTTGTTTTAAATTTCAAAGAAAAAAAAAAATGCAACTTCGGTGGCATCCTATTCGGTACTTTTTGTTCCTATGCAAAAAGTCACTTATAATAGCTGATGCCAGAAAGATGGAGAGTGATCACTGTTGGGCGGATTTTTTGTTGTTTCTCTAGTAGTGGGGTCAGAACACAAGGTCATGTGGTGTGCCAGACAAGTCCGTCACCAAGTGAGCTGTGTCCTCCAACCCTAATGGTTCTTCATAGTCACTTTCACTTTTCTGTTTAGTAGGAGCCGACGAGAGAGGCTGTGAGTGTTCCTCGTGTCAAGGAAAATCCCAGGTCTGGGCTGGCAACCTTGCTTGCTCTGTACCGAGTCTCCAGGAGCCACATTCAAAAGTACGGAAGGCAGGCCGGCGTGACGCGAGGGCGCTCAAGTTTGGCCGCCGCCGCTCGCCGTAGCTGAGTCTCCAACATGGCGGCTCCCCAGGATGTCCACGTCCGGATCTGTAACCAGGAGATTGTCAAATTCGACCTGGAGGTGAAGGCGCTTATCCAGGTACAGATTCTTAGCCCACCGCGGCTTTCGCTAGCAGCCTTGGCGTTTTCCAAAATCTTCGCGCCCGCCCAGCTTCCCAGGCAGGCGGCCCTCAAGCGACATTCGGTTGGGTCTCCGGGATCGCTGGCCTTCTGCGCTTTTCTTGTGTACAAAGTTGGTTCGCTCGCCTCTCAGCTATCCCCACGCCCCTCTCCTGCCCCCTGACTTTACAGCAAAGGTTGGGGCTAGCCTGTTCCTGTCTCGGCGGTAGTCCCGCCCTGCCACCTCCCCTACCGCCTGGCACACCTACTTGCCTGTGTTAGGGCCGGAGGGTACCCAGGGCCACCTGACACGGTAGTCACCGGACGAAGCTAACGGAACCTGGACCCTGGGTATTTTTTTGAATGAAAAAATCAAATAGAGTGGCAAGGCCTGGGTCAGAAGGCAGGCAGTGCCGATACTAGGATTGGACAGAGAAAACCAGCCTGGAAAAGGCATTTTAGAGCTTCCATACCCCGTTCAGCCGACAGGGAAGTGAGGCGCTTGTCTAGAAGCAGGTGTAAGTAGAGACAGCAGTGCAAGAAAGTTTACATAGGAGCCGGGCAATGGTGGCACAAGGCTTTAATCCCATCACTCAGGAGGCAGAGACAAGCGGATCTCTGTGAGTTCGAAGCCAACCTGATCTAGAGTTCCAGGATAGTCTCCAAAGCTACAGAGAAACCTGTCTTGAAAACAAACAAAAAACCCCACAACAACAACAACAACAAAGAAAGTTAACATAGGCAAGAGTAGAGAATGTAGAAATAGCACCTGAGTTTGGAAAACAAACAAACAAAACAAAACAAAATAAAAAACCTCAAGACACTCGGAATACAATCTGTGACAGCAAGGGAAGAGAGAATGGGTTGTGGCCCTGCTGGTGAATGCTTGCCTAGCTTGTCTGGGTTCCATCCCCAGTGCTGCATAAATGGGCTGTGGGTTGCAGGAATAAGTGAGCCCCTGTGGAAAAGGGGCGGGGGAGTAGTGCTCTCTGACAAGCCAGATGCACACCGTACCACAGTGGTCGTTTATCCTATGCCGCGTGAAAGTGTGGTTGTATGAGTAAATTGGAGTCTAAGTGAAGAAACTTGACACAAACTTTAAAGTCTCCAACTTCACTCCTGGGATGTGTAAACCACAAAATGTCTGGCCCAGTTCTAGAAAAATAAACAAGATTGGGTTTATACAAATGAAATTACTAGGGGCTGGGGTAGTGTAGCTCAGTGTAGAGTTAAAGTTTAGGGGCTGGGGTAGTGTAGCTCAGTGTAGAGTTAAAGTTTAGCCATGCTCAGGACCCTAGTCTCAGTCCTCAGAATGTAATAATAAATTCATATACATACAGAAAACAAACTGGCTAGTGTGTTGGTGCCAGCACTTGGAAAGCAGAGGTAGGAAAATCATGCATTTGAGGCTAACCTGTATGTATAGAGTGATCCTGTCTCAAAAACAAAAGGCAGACTACATCCAAAATTTAAAAAACGAAAAGTTATGTTTTCATATTCTCTGGTTCGCTAGGTCTTTTTTGGGTTTTGTGATTACTATGCAGTAAGCTTAACCCCATACATTATATTCTTATAGTCTTCCAGCTCTTCTGCTAAGTGTTTTATGCCAAGAAATATGACTTTGAGGTAGGCTAGATGAAGAATTGGAGGAGGCACAGAGAACTTTGGTTTTTTCAAGATTGCACTAATACGTTGCAGGATTTGGATATAGTAGCCTAAGTTTAGAGCCTGCTCTAAATCTTGGCTCTAACGATTCTGGATTTCTTTCCAGAAGCAAATCCTCAGTATGTCAAATCCCCTGTGCATGTCATATGACTTGTAACAGATAGAAGGTTTGTAAAATCAGACTAAGTTAATTTTGTTACATGTTACTAAGGATTTCGGCCCTTAACTTTTAGAGTTGAAGGATCTGAAGTCACAGTATCTCTTAGATGCCCATCCTTGTTGAACATGTAAGCTTCTTAAATCTTTCATGGTGGCTAGATAGCACTTTGTTAAACTTTCAAGTCAAGGTTGAGTTTCTTTAGCTACTTACTTATCTACACACATAATACATATCGTGTGTGTGTGTGTGTGTGTGTGTGTGTGTGTGTGTGTGTGTGGCTGGCAATGGAACCCAGGGCCTCAAGCATGTTACACAAGTACTGTACCACTGAACTGCACGTCCAGCCTACTTTTATGTGTTCTGTTCGGTGTTAATCTTAAGAGGGATGAGGAAACTGAAAATGATGTTTTTGCTTTTGTGCAGAGGAGAGCAGCAGTGAGCACGACAAGGTGGAGCTAGGCCAACCTCAGCTGTGGGCTAAATCAGCTTTCCCCCTGTGCATGTCATTCCCGCAGAAAGGCCCCTCATCTCTTCGTTGTCTTCTAGGATATTCGAGATTGTCCTGGACCCTTAAGCAAGCTCACTGAACTGAATACTAAGGTGAAAGAAAAGTTTCAACAGCTACGACACAGGATACAGGTAAGTGAGGCTCCACACCACTGTTCACTATGGTCAGGTAGTGGGGTGAGCGCTCAGACTTCAGATAGCCTTTGCGTGAGAGCTGACCAGGTTCTTCACATGTCACATGGAGATAGTAGTAAACATTGTTATGTTAGGGACTGGACTATCAAAGATTGGAGCCTATGAACTCGTTCCCTGCCTGAGTCCGTCACCAACATGTCCTGGGTGTTCTCCATGCTGTCGTTTTTGCAGTCACTGCCTTGCAGTTTCTGTAGTCACAGCTTCTATCTTGTGCTCATCACACCTGACTTTCCCTATGGTGCACGTGCTGTCTCAGAACACGAGAGAGTGGGAAGGGACCCGTGAGTAGCAGAGCCATCCACTGCTGCGCCCTCAGGAAGGCTGCTAGAAATCTGCCCATCACTGGGTGGGGCTAGGATCACCTGGTTTTTGGGTTTTTTTTTTTCTGTTTATGTATATTTTTTAAAACAGTCTTTGCTCATTTTATGTACCAATCCCAGTTTCCACTCCTTCTCCTCCTCCCGCTCCCCTCACCTCCCCCCCACTCCACCTCCCAGCCAGTCCTTAGAGAGAGTAAGGTTTCCCATGGGGAGTCAATAAAGTCTGGACAAAGGCCCTCCCCCTTATATCTAGGCTGAGCAAGATATTCCACCATAGAGAATAGGCTCCAAAAAGCCAATTCATGCCCTACGGATAAATCCTGGTCTCACTGCCAGTGGTCCCACAGATTGCCAAAGCCACACAACTGTCACCCGCATTCAGAGGGCCTCGTTTGAGGACCGCCTGGTTTTGCTGCATGTGGTAAATGACCTTGTCCCAAAGCTATCCTTCAACTCTTCAGTTGCTTAGCAGATAGAAGTCTCTTGCAAAGGCACTGGGAAGTTAGCAGGTTGACAGCTTGAGAGGACTTCTGCTCCCTTCCTAAAGGGGTTTCCAGGGCAGTTTCAAATATGTGATTTCAGCCTTTGGAGATGACTTTAGGATTTCAGCACTGTGCCTGGACCTAGGTGCTCGCCATCTCCAGCACTGCTTCCTCCATCTGAGCTTTTGAAAAATACTGCTTCTTGTGTGTTTTATTTGTATGTGTGCACGTGTGTGTATCCACACTGTTAGTCTCGGTTATATCCTTGCTAATATCCTCTGTTCTCTGGGCCACTTTCCACTAGCACTGATTCATTACTTTCAGGTCTTCTCAGAGTTTGTCTTCCCCAAGATTACAGATATTTTTTTCTATGTTTTCCCCTTCTGGGATGGACATGCCCCAACATGGAGCTTCCAGGCCTACCTGTGTCTGGATGACCTACCTGCTCCTGAGCAGCCTCCCAGCCTTCTTATATAGTTGTAGTTCTCTTCTAACCATTTCTCTACAACAGGTGTTCATTTGAACCACTTCCATGTTTTGATTCTTAGCGCTGATTGGTTTTCTTAATGTCTTTCTTCAACTCTCCAACTCTTAACTACTACTGTTGTATAAGTACCTGCATGTTTACCTGGTGTTTATTTCCTTCCCTAATTTTTAGTAAATATCCTCACCACTACATTTACATATTTGTTATGCCCTTGCCACTGGTTACAGCCTCTCCTTAAGCATAGATGGCATCTAGCAAGGTGATAGGCCAGCGAGTGACTACCCTAGCTCTCATCTGCATTTCCTCAGCATTTGCATACTCTGTATATACCTGAAAACACAAAAGGCACTTGAGTGAATGTCCCTTTTGTGTATTTCAGCAGCTTATGTGTGAGTAGAAGAGAACTGGCCTGTGTCTTCTGAATATGCTAGTTCCTACGTAGTTGGTATTGGGCTTGGCCGTGTGCAAATGTCCATCTTTGCATTTGTGTTTCTTCAGCTGGAATTGGAGAATAACAGTGCCCCTTTCATTTCTCCAGAGATACCAGGTTCTCTGTGACAACTTCCAAGCAGCCTCTTCTAAGGAAGTTGTGCATCTCTCCTTCTCTCTGTCTCTTTTCTTCCTATTCACCCATTCTTCACTGAGATCAGTATAGGAAGGATCTTTGGGCAATGACTGCATTGTCAGGAATGAGAATTCTAGACAAAAAAAAAATTATGTCTTATTACTGGTAACATTTGCACTCCTCCCCATTTTTTCTTCTTGAGACAGGGTCTCACTATGAAGCTCTGACTGTACTGAAAGTCACTATGTAGACCAGCCTAGCCTCAAACTCACAGAGATCAACTGCCTCTGCCTCAAGTACTGGGATTAAAGGCGTGCACACCATGCCCAGTTATACTTTTTTCAGATCACAGTCAGCTATTCTTTTTTCTTCTTTAGCAGTATGGGGGGGGGGGAGCGAATAAATTTTCAGAAGTGCTTTCTGAGTTGTTTAAATGATACATAGATAAACATGCTTGTTCCAAACCAGCACATGCAAATTTATATAGGAATGAGTAGGTTGTTCACTAGATAAACTAATATGTTGATGTTTTAGCTGTATGGCTTGCTTGAAAGTGAAACTTGTGATTTGTAAATCAAAGCTAGGACTTGAGGCTTCTTTACAGTGTGTGTGACGGACGGCTCCTTTAGCTCAAGTTCTTGGTCTCCTGCTGTTGGTCATGTCTGCCCTCCTTTGCTCGTGGTAGACTCTTGTTGGGGGCGGCTGCTCGTCATTCCCAGCCACTTAGACCCAAAATGATCACACAGAAACTATATTATTTGCAGTACTGTTTGGCCAAAGCTTATGCATATTTTTAGCTAGCTCTTATATCCTAAACTAACCCATCTCCATTAGGCTGTGCATCACCATGAGGTTGTAGCCTACCAGCAAAGTTTTGGCATCCGCCTCCTCTGCTGGCAGCTACATGGCATCTCCCTGACTCTGCCTATTCTCTCTATATATCTTCCAGCCTGGCTATATTCTGTTAAGCCATTGGCCAAAAGCATTTTCTTTATTCATTAACCAATAAAAGTAACACATATACAGAAGGATTTCCCACACCAGACTCTTTCCTTGGTATTTGGTATCATGTGTGCATATCTTTTGCATGCCTTTTCTGGAGCCTCTGCATCCTGGTCAAGGGTGTATCTCTCAGTCTCCAGGGATTATGTTTATGTTAATTTCTCTTCTGTTCAGTTCTCAAATCACTCAGGAAAGATAAATCATCCCTCTACCCAAAGTCCATAGTGTACCCCCTGCCATTAACTTCACAACCAAAATAAAATAAACCAGACAAGTGTCCACTAGCTCTACTGATGAGTAGATGTCCCAGACTGTTTTACAGCTGCTGGAAGCTTCTGTGGGTCCTGGGTTTGTGACAGTTTCAGTTCAGCTTCAGCCTCAGGTGGCCTTAGGCTTCAGTGTTATGTTCACAAACAAGTTGAAACCCTCAAAGCTCTGTTGGAGTAGGTACAGAAATGGGCAACGTAATAGTGTTGCATCCTTCTGGTTTTGCATTGGGATCAGTGGCTTCTTGTTTTGTTGTGTCTGTTTTTTTTTTCCTTTAGTTCAGACAGTGTCAAGGTTGTAGGAGTGGCAGCCCCTGCTCCAGCTGGGGCAGCCTTTCTAGAGCTGACCACACCAGCACCCTGCTTCCTGTTCACCTTTGAGCTGCCAAGATTTCCTTCTCTTTCTTGAAGATTTGCCTCTATGTTTAAAAGGATATTTGATTGTTTTGGACATGCTCCCTCCCACTCCCAAGTGTCTGTTGTAAAAGATACTTAGTTGTTTTTGTGGGTCTCTATTGGAAACAGAAGCACTCTGGCTAACAGCTGTCCCCCCCCCCAGGAGCTTGAGCAATCAGCAAGGGAGCAAGACAAGGAGTCGGAGAAGCAGCTTCTACTTCAGGAAGTGGAGAACCATAAAAAGCAGATGCTCAGGTAGGCGGGGTAGCCTACAACCACCTCTGCTGGGTCGCATGCTGACTGTGAAGCTTGTCCATGTGTTTATCTAATAAGCCCAGCTTGATGGTGAGTAGTGGTGTCGTTACCACACACAGGCTGAAAGTTCTCTAGCTCAGTCAGTCTCAGACTGAGTCTGAAGAGGTCAGGGGAATAGTGGAGTCTGCACGGACATTTGGAGCTGTGTGTGTATAGTGCGTACAGTGTTGATATGTTTGCAGAGTTGGCCTCACACTGCACTGTATATATTCATATATCCTAAAATACTGTAAGTGTGGGAGCCGTGTGTGGAGTCGGTTCTTTCCTGCCATTTTGTCAGGCCTGCAGACACGCACCTCCCCCTGAGCCATCTCGATGGTTCTTTTATTTTTTGAGACAGGGTCTCTTGTATTGAAGTTGTCCTCAAACTCAACATGTAGCTAAGGATGACCTTGGATGTCTGATCCCCCTGTTCCTACTTCCCAGGTGCTGGGATACAGGCATGGGTCACCACATATTTATGTGGGGCTGAGAATCAAAGTCAGGGTTTTGCGCATGCTAGGGCAAGCACTGCACCAATGGAACTACACCCCAAACCCTCTTTTATATATTTGAAAACAAAAATGTAATTACTTTTGGAGGCTAGAGAGATGGCTCAGCAGTTTCAAGTGTGTACTGCTCTTCTGGAGGACCCAGTTCAATTCCTAGCACTTACGTCAGACGGCTTCCAACTGCCTATAGCTCCAACGCCCCCTCACCTCAATAGGCAGTTATGTGCTCACACACACAAGATTAAAATAATAAGAATTAAACTTTTAAAAACTTGATTATTTTTGTAATATGGGGTAAATTTTATTCAAGAATAATTGGTATGAGGACAGTTCACTGAAAGCGAACCTACTCGAGATAGACCAAGATAGAGCTTCCAGTGTGGCATTACTGAAATGAATGACGCGCAGAAATGTAAGTTTATGTTAGAACTGAGATTTCGGTGACACCGCAGCTGTGTGCTAATCTTTGATTATAAAGCCGTATGTACCATTTCTTAGTCTCTCAGTCAGGGACTACAACTTTTTTTTAACAATGTCTGGGAATGTGAATCACCGTTTCTCCCTTCAGGTTGGACTTTTGTGCTATAACCCAAAGGGCATTGTTACTGCAAACACACCTTTCCCAGCCCCGTGGTGTTCAAAGCCTGTTTAGTAGTCTTTGCTGCATCAGAATTCCCGTAGGTCTTCCTTTGTCACAGCTGTGTGAACACTCAGCTGGCAAGAGAGACTGACCAAGACATGGGAGTGAGTGGTGCACGTGCGCCAGGCGCGTTGGCAGTGGCTTCAGTGGCTTTTTATGCCACAAGGGTTCTCAGGTTGTAAGCATGAACTCACGAGAAGTGCATGCGTGCAGTGTAGTAAGTTGCACCAAACACCGTCAGCTTAGTGGGGGCTTAAAGCTTGGCTGTTCCTGGCGTGATGTTAAAGGTTTGAGGAAAGAAAACGTGAAATTACTGTTTCAGCAGCAGTTATGTTTCTCAGGTTATCAGGTCGGTCGTTCTGTTTAGGACTTGCTTACTTCCCTCTCTAATAAATGTGAGCTCTGCACCACTGGGCCTTGCAGAACACCATTGTGAACAGTTGGAAGATGTAATTGGTTGTTTGAAATGGCAGGTGTGGAATAGGCTGCTAGGTATGTAGTATCTGAGAGCCCATCTGAAGATTACCTGTAGTCCCAGTACTTGGGAGGCAGAAACAGGAGGATCTCTGTGAGTTCAGGCCAGCCTGGTCTATAGAGTTAGTTCCAGGACGGCCAGGGCTACACAGAGAAACCCCATCTTTAAAAAAAAAAAAAAAGAAAAAAGAAGAACATCAACTTCACAGATTGTCCTGTGACCTCCACACATGCACTGTGGCATGCATCTCCACCCCAATCATATGCACATAAATTTTTGTTTTAATTTAAAGAAATCCACCCTATTGGTTAAGGGCTCTGTCCAGGGCTTAATGCAGTTGATTTGAACTGACTGTGTGGGAGGTCCAGCGTATGACTTTGGTTGTCAGAGGGCTATGGTTGGCCTTTTCTGTGTGTCGGTGCAGAATGAATTGCTAATCTCAAGTGCTGCTTACCTTTGAGCCATCGCTTGCCAAGTAAAGAATGTGAATAGATCATGCCAGTCAGGGTGCCCTGTGATATATGTAGTACCTGCAACTGGTTCAAATAGACAAGAGTTAGCAAGCCTTGGAGGAATGTTGGTTTCCCCCCTCTAACAGCCGCTTCGGGCGGATAAATGGTGATTCCAGTACTAGGGATGAAGGAGGAATGCTAGGTCATGGCTCTCGAGGACAACACCCAGATACTTGTCAGACAGTAAAGCCACTGTGGGTCTGTGGCTAGTAGAGTGCCTTGTCCCTGGTCTCCCAGCTTCCTAGCAGGAGATGGATAGTGACAGAATGTTCTGGAAACATCTTCTGGAGGTTCAGAGGAAAGATGTTAAGACCTATGCTAAAGTAGCTACCAGGGCTACCAAGAAGAGGAAGTGGAGGGAGGTGAGGTTGAACTCTGAGTCACACTGTTTAGGCTGGTCAGCCTGGTGGAGCCACCAGGACCTCATGTGTGACCCTTCTTCTTCCAGCAACCAGACCTCATGGCGGAAGGCCAATCTTACCTGCAAAATTGCCATCGACAACCTGGAGAAAGCAGAACTTCTGCAGGGAGGAGACTCCTTAAGGCAAAGGTATCTTCTTTTGTCCCCTTGGCTCTTGTTTTCATAACATTTGTACTTTATGTTAGTGCATAAGTATTTTCTTTTCTTTTTTGAGAACTGGGTCTCATACATCCCAATCTGGTCTCAAACTTTGTGTGTAGCTGAGGATAGCCTTGAACTTCGGATCTCACAGGTGTGACCTCCACACCAAGTTCGTGCGGTTCTGGAGACCCAACCAAGGGCTTCGTGCATATTAGGCAAGCACTCCACCGACCAAGTACATCCCCAGTCCCAAATAAATTTGACTAAAATTGGTTTTTGGTTGGAGATTTTGTTTGTTTGTTTGTTTGTTTGTAGTAATGGGAGTTGAGCCTAGGGCCTCATGCATGAAGGTCAAATACTCTACCACTGAGCTAACTCCCAGTCCTCCCTGACAATTTTTAAGACCTTTCTTTTAACTGCACATGCATAGTGTCTGTTATTAACCAGTCCTGTTGGCGTGTTTGCATTTCCACCTTTTCAGTATTATATGATGCATCAAGGCAGGTTTTTGTCTGGTTCCTTTGAGCAAGTTCTCTGGGAATGAGTGAGCATTTTTGAGTCTGTTGGTACATAGTGCAGACTGGCTTACAGACGGCAGCAAGGTTTCCATGCCTCCCAGCTGGGCTCGAGAACGTGGGCTCAGGATACATCCTTAGCCACACTGACTGATGTTTCAGAAACGTGCAAACCACGTGGTGGTGGCGCACGCCTTTAATCCCAGCACTCAGGAGGCAGAGGCAAGTGGATCTCTGTGACTCAAGTCCAGCCTGGTCTACAGAGCCAGTTCCAGGACAACCAGGGCTTCATAGTGAGACCTTCTCTTGAAAAAACAAAAAAGAAGAAAGGAATGTATGCTAACTGTCTGTGTGGTACATATCTGTAATCCTAGTACTCACGGGTGGGGTAGGCTGAGGTAGTGACATTCTGTCCTCTGGGCCAAGCTGAGCTACATTTTGAGACCCTATTTCAAAGCACAAACAGAAAAAGTTCTAATGTGGTGCTTTTCACAAGCTTGGCTTTTGTTGCTATTGCTCCTTCCTCTGGACTTTCAGGAAAACTACCAAAGAGAGTTTGGCGCAGACATCCAGCACCATCACAGAGAGCCTCATGGGGATCAGCAGGATGATGTCACAGCAGGTGCAGCAGAGTGAAGAGGCCATGCAGACTCTAGGTAAGGAGTAGACGCTGCTTCAGAACGCACGCCCTGGCACCTCTGTGCAGCCCTCCTGCTCTCCCCATCCAAACTGTGCCTTAGGACATGACGAGACAGTCTGGTCTTTGGGGGGGGGGCATGCTACTCTTCCTCTCCTTCAGCTGTGCAGCTGTGCTAGACACGCCCTGTGCCATCATTCCTGAGGAAGCGTTGCTAGGCTCATGTGAAAAGCAGAAATGGCCAGCCTCTCTGGAGATGGTGTCTGTCAGCAGTGCTTGCAAGAGGTCTGGGAGTCTGGTTTTTACCATGGGCTCATGGACTTAGTATTGCCAGGCAGGTTTGGGAATTAGGACCACTGGCAAGACCATTACTGTGGGTTTCTTTTAAATGTACCAGCCAGAAGCCACAGAGGAGGCCACTGGAGACCTGCACATTCTTGCCAACTGTCTTCCCACCTTGCTCCTTCAAGAATTTGTCCTTCTAGGGCCCTTCAGTTGTCGGAAACAGGAAAGGAGTTTGCTCTTTGTTTTTTTTGTTTGTTTGTTTGTTGAAACATTTATTTATTTATTATGTACACAGTGTTCAGCCTCCATGTATGCCTGTAGGCCAGAAGAGGGCATCATATCTCATTAAAGGTGGTTGTGAGCCACCATGTGGTTGCTGGGAATTGAACTCAGGACCTCTGGAAGAGCAGTCAGTACTCTTAACCTCTAAGCCATCTCTCCAGCCCGAGTTTGCTCTTTGTAAGATTTCACATGTCAGCCAAAGTAGACAGCGAGGTTTGGTAAATTCTCGAACCAAGCACCTTGCTTTCATCATGGCTGTCACAGCCACCTTGTTCCATTTCTACCCTTACTTCATCCTCTAGTCGAGACATCATCATGAAAATAGCTCAACACATCTAAAAGCTAATGATAAGGGGTCTGGAGAGATGGCTCCGTGGTTAAAAGCAAGTACTGCTCCTCAAGAGGACCCAACCAGCACCCACATCACTCAGCTGTCACTGTCATGCACCTATACCCACACAGATATGCACATAACTAGCAATAATAAAAATAAGTCTCACTCGCCTGACTCAGGCACTGGCCTTGTTGACAGCCAGCCAGCCAGCCAGCATATTGAGCTCCTCTTTGTCTGGGTGGCACAGTCTGAATCAGGCCCCTTTTCTTCTGTTGCAGTCAGCTCTTCACGGACTCTCTTAGATGCAAATGAAGAGTTTAAATCTATGTCGGGGACCATCCAGCTGGGCCGGAAACTCATCACAAAATACAACCGCCGCGAACTGACGGACAAACTTCTCATCTTCCTTGCCCTGGCCCTGTTCCTTGCTACAGTGCTCTATATTTTGAAGAAGCGCCTCTTTCCATTTTTGTAAGTGAGTGCTGCCAGCTATGGTCCTTTGTACTCCTGACCGCAGGTCGCAGGTCACAGGTCGCAGGTAGGGGCTCTCAAGGACTGGCCGCCAATCTGGGCTGCTCCTTCCCCGTGGTTTTCTCCTGTGCTAAGTACTCCCAGTGGAGGAAGCACAGCAGTTTCCAGTTTCCTGCAAGAAGCTGCTTGGAAAGGGCGAATGGACTAGAGGAAAGGAAGCTGTTGGGGCAGAGATACTCCACGTTACTCAGCTCTCAAGCATGGTGGCTGCCACAGGGAGCACCTCAACTCTGGGATTTGATGCACCTCCTCCCTCTGCGTCCTAAGGCATAAATGCTAGATTTGGTGGAGAGAAGAAAGAGGAGCCTGTGGGAGGGAAGGTGATGAGAGCCCATGGCTGTTGCCCGAATAAACCTCATTTATTTAATGAAGTGATAAATGTTTAATTTTACAAGGTATCTCTCTGGGAATGCCCTTACTTCATCGTGTCCCGATTCCTAGGACATGAGCTTAGATTATTCATTCAACAAGGAATTACTGAGGCCAGAAAGAACACTTGCTGCTCTTTTAGAAGACCAGTGTTGAATTCCCAGTACCCTCTTGGGGATTCACGGCCACCTCTAACTCCAAGTCCAGGGAATCTGATGTTCCTTATAGGCCCCAGGCATCACATAGCGTGCTTGCAAACATACAAACAAACACTCAGATACATTAACTTTTTGTTTAATTTATTGAGGGTGAGTGAGACAGTACAACTGCAGCTGTGCAGTTGTGGTGTGTGTGTGTGTGTGTGTGTGTGTGTGTGTGTGGTGTTTTCCCGCATATACACAAATAAATAAAAGAAGAAAATTAAAGGAGTGTGGAACAGCTGCCACAGACTGATTCCTCAACATTGCCAGACATTACATACACACTTGTAAAGCCGACACGCTCCCTCCAGCAGCAGCAGAAGTGAGATGTCAGCATGGGGGACTAACTACAAACAGCCGCCATTGGAGCAGCCCACCAGCCTGGCAGGGCCTGGGGCATCATAACTGAGAGGCTTGCTGGCTCCCTTCTCTTTGAGGTTCAGACTAAATGTGGCAGAGTGAGAAGCCAGTACTGCTGATGCCCAGCTGTGCCCATTTCTGTCCATGCCAGATCCATGTTCCCAGCTGTCCAGCCCTGCAGGTGCCAGTGTTCTTGAAGTTTTTCCTGCACTGCTTACAGCCTTGGAGGCAGAGAGTAACTGAGGCGCACAGGCCTGGAACTGGCACTCAACCATGCAAACCACATGGCCCAAGCGGACGGCCTTATGTTGCTGTCAGTTTCCACACCCACACAGTGGGAGTGGTGGTACACATCGGGCCAGTCTGAATGAAAGGAGAGGCAAAGTAGTAGGTGTGGCTCCCTCATTACTGAGCCTTCATCCTGCTCACAAACTATGGGGACTCCTACGGCTGCTTCCTCAAGGAGCTGCTGGGGAAAGGCAGATCTGTTTAGACTGTTTGAGCAGTGGGTACCAGCGTTAAAGCTGCTGTGGAGGGGCAGATCATCTTGGGACCGAGTATGTGCCACTGGCTGTGTACACTAGACTGACGTACTGAGTCCACTGTAAATGGAAAGGCGTTTGTGTCTGTGTCACAGAGAGTGATGGGAACTACCACCCCAGTAGTACCAACTCCTACACACTAGCACTGGGAAGGCTCCTAAGGTCACCTATGCAGAGAGCACATGCTGGGTAGACTGCTGGTCCCGTCATAGGCAGTGTGGAGCAGAACAGTGAGATTTCTATACAGAGAGCACATGCTGGGTAGACTGCTGGTCCCGTCATAGGCAGTGTGAAGCAGAACAATGAGATTTCTATTAAGGATGGTGTGCAACTAAAAACCCATGAACTGCTCAGTTCTGGAATTTTTCCATTTTATATTTTCAACTGTGGTTCTCTCTCTCTCTCTCTCTCTCTCTCTCTCTCTCTCTCTCTCTCTCTCTCTCTCTCTCACACACACACACACACACACACACACACAATTCTTGGCCCCCAAAGGTGTTTGTTGCAAATTGTGCACACAACTTGTAGTCAGATGCAGCTAAACACGCAGCACTGAGGGGCAGCTCCCGCTCAGATTCCGGCTGTAGTGCAGCAGATGGATGCAATCAAGGGTTTTCTTGCCTGAATGTTGCTCTTTACTCTTCCCACTAATTGTCAACATCCTCGCAATGTGGAAACGTGTGGGCTCCGCAATCCCTAGAAATTCTCGCTTCCACACTTTATGCCTTTTATTTGCCTCCTGAAGACAGTCTGGTTTGACCTGTTTAGAGGGTCATCGAGAATGCATCTTGAACCCCATCAGCATCCTGAGCCTTCCTCACCCGCTTAGCTGTGCAGAAAACGGCCTTCCACACTCAGCCAGGAGGGGGCAGTGTCCACACTTACTCTGCTCTCCTGTAGGCGTGGTGATAATTTTCACAGACTGGAATACTCCAATACCACTCCTTTAAAATGGGGGGAGGGGTAAAAAAAAAACTAAATATGTAAGACCTCCCTGTGATTAGGTTGAGATATGTTCCATAAGTTCCTTTAATATTTAATTAAACAGTAAGGGAAGCTCATATACTATATTTTGATTGACAGATGGTAATGGTGTTAAAAATTCAGAACAGAATATTCAAGGGAATAATCATTCAAGAGGCATTTGCTGAGCACGTATTATATAGCCATAATGTGTCATGGAGCTGTTGTATGTGGTGAGGGTGAACAGATGATAAATGATATATATACTAAATATGTCATTTATTATGTTAGAAAAGAAGCAGGCTTTTTGTATTCTTGGGTTCCCCATCTGCAGGTTCAATCAATTTTACATTTAAAAAAGAAAAATCATATGTATAGATTTTACTTGTCATTATCCCCTGGATGGTGCAACGTAACACGTATTTTTCTAGCAATTACACTGCTCAGGATAGCAAGGAAGAACTGAGTGTCCGGGGAAAGTGGCTCAGCCTAAGTGTCTGGGGTGGAGGAGAGAGGCCAAGTTCGCAGTGGTCAGGGCTGAGTGTGGTGGCACACACTTTTAGTCTTGGCGCTCAGGAGGCAGAGGCAGGTCAGCCTGGTCTACATGCTGAGTGCCCTGCCAGGCAGAACTCCACGGTGAAAGTCTGTCTTAAAGAGAATTTAAAAAAAAAAAAAAAAAGGAAAGAAGTATGCAGCTGATAGAAGAGGGTCAGCCACCCAGCAGGCCTGGGGAAGCCGAACCAGCCCCCAGATGGCACACCGTCTTGTTTTTTCCACTTCTCTGGTGGCTCTCACTCCTTTTGTTGTTCATTTTCTGAACACCCTAAATGCCCACTTAGATCTCGCTGTCTCTGCCTTGTCCTGTACTGTCTCAAAGCCGAGGTCTATGGACCCGCAGCCTTAGTCGTTTATAGGAAGAGCATCAACAGTCCCCGAGTTCTAGGGCAAGGCAGCCTTCGCAGGAGCTCAGAACCCGCAGGCACCTGTGCCTGTGCCCACACCCCCACCCCCTGCCCCATACCCAGTCCTTTTCCTGGCTCTGTCCTCCCTAACACTTCTTCCTGGATCTGGTTAGGGCTAAGGAAATGTCATCCCAAAATCCGAGTGTGTGAGACCAGTGTTGCTCAAGACAGACTCCTGGAGGCTGAAGATTCAAGGTTGCTCTCACAGAGGACCTGGGTTCAGTTCCCAACCCCACATGACTCCTCAAGTTATCCGGAACTCCAGTTCCAAGGTGTCCGAAGTCCTCTTCTGACCTCTGTGGGCTCAGTCACAGACATACATGCAAGCCAGACATTCTTCCACATAAATCTTTATAATATTTTTCTTTGTTTGGTTTGAGACGGGGTGTCTCTACATAGCGCTAGCTGTCCTGGAACTTGCTCTGTAGACCAGGTCGGCTTTAAACTCAGAGATCTACCTGCCTCCATCTCCTGAGTGCTGGGATTAAAGGTCTGTGCTAGACACTCTTTTAAAAAACATAAAGATTGACTTTTCTGGCCTGTTTTGAGCTGATTATGCTGAGAAGCCACTGACTCGGGAGGACCTGAAGACTGCTTTTCACAAGACATCCACTTCTATAAAGGGAAAGCACATCAGTCTGTATCTGTGTGGCAGAAGGCCGCTCCAGACACCTGATTCCCTGAATGGCACTCTGTGTAAAACAACCAAAAATCACCGTCCATTTCCACCCTCCCGCTCCCTGACCTCTTCAGATGGTGGAGAAATGCCAATGGCGGTCTCATTTTTCAGAACTTCCACGTGCATGTACGTAAGTCAGTGTGGATTTTTTTTTCCTCTGAACCTATTCTAGTTTAATTTAAGGCCTGGCTTGAGATCCTGGAAGCATGGAGGACAGCCATGTACTCCATCGCTGTCTCTTTTCACATTACCTACCCCATCTTCTCCAAGCCTCATTATTGCAAACCAGGAAGCAAGACTGTTCTATTGCTAATGATTCAACCATTCTGGATCCATTGTGCTGCTGGGTGTAGAAGACCTCAAATACTCAGAGGGGGATTCTGCTGTGGAATTCAATTTAGAGGTGACTGAAGGCACAAAAATATTGTTAAAGGATTTGGGGAGGGGGGTTGAGTCAAGGTTTCTGTGTAGCCCTGACTGCCCTGGAACTCACTCCTTAGACCAGGCTGGCCTCGAGCTCAGAAATCCACCTGCCTCTGCCTTCTGAGTGCTGGCATTAAAGGTGTGTACCATCACCCCCGGCTTAAAGTTTTGTGTGTGTGTGTGTATGTGTGTGTGTTTTAAGACAGCAATACAAATTATTTTTTTCTTCCTGGGTTTCCAGTGGTCTTCCCTGGGCCAATGGTGGTCTTCCCTGGGCCTCTACTCACAGCTTTGCCCAAGCTGCGCTTGAACAAGGACAGAATAAAAATAGCTGTAGCTATCTAAGAGATAGACGGTCTGGCGGTGCTGTCAGGGATGAAGGGCTGCAGCCTGGGGCTGGGGGGTGTTATCACCCCATTGTCCTTGCAGCCTCCAGCAGTGGGCTCGGCTCAGGCTACACACGGCATCCAGGGGCCCAGAGTGCTGTGCATAATGTTTATGCACTTGGCTCTTTAAATTGGCATGGTAACATGGTCAGGGAATCTTAAGTCCTATTTGTGCTCTCCCTCACCTGTGTCCCCAGGGATCACAGGCATCACCCTCTGTGCTGTGGTTTCCTTATCTGTGACTAGAGCCCCTCTGCACAGTATAGTTTCTCAGGGGGCCGGGGAGGACCACAGAAAAACCACAGCAGCTGCTCACATGCCAGCAGCTCATGTCACTGTGTGCCACCAAGCAACAGCAAATGGCTTCATTCTGCTTTCTCAACTGGAGGGAAGTGTGCTTAGATACAGAGGAAGATTCTGGAATTGGAGAGGACTCAGGACCAGTTGTGATGGTTAATCTTGGCTGTCAACTGGATCTGAGAT